CGCAGCGCCGCTCTGGGCGCTACTGGACCAACCCGGCAGCACCCCAGCTGCTCTGCCCCAGGTGTCCTGATTCAGCCGCTGCTGGTCAGTTTCAACAGCGGCTGAATCAGGGAAGCCGGGGGCAGAGCAGCTCTAATGGTCTGGCTGCCCGGAGCACTTCCGGGTTCCTGATGGTGCCGGACCATCAGGAGTGCTGGACCATCAGATGCCGGACCAATGGAGTTTTACTGTACTTGATTTTTAACATCCCTAAATGTTAAATGAGAAGTCCTGAAAGATACCATGCATCTTCCTAAGGACAAGAGATATTAATCATGATATACTGGACAGATTCAGTATGCTGTGTAGTTTTGATTATAGGGGAACCAGTATACCATGCATGCACAAGGGTCTCATTTCTCTGCACCTCCTATTTGGTGCATTTCGTATAAGAGACTATTAATAGGTCCTTAGTACGTGTTCACAGGAGCTCACATTTTGGTAACAAGTTGCCGATCCATTCAGTAAGTGCGGACTATGCTTCGCGGGGGGAAAATAATGGAGTAGAAGGAATTAAGTCCAAGGGCTTTTTATGAACAGGTTGCCTTATATTTGATCTGTGGAGAGCAACCACCCCCTCTTCCCAATAGGAACAGGTTAAGGATCGGTTCTATCTATATGTACTAGTAATGTCTGGAAGAGTGCCTCTCAGGCATAGAACTTTACACACCTGACTGATGTACAAACTACATATAAGGATCACTTCATAGTTTGAAATTTGTCAGCTTTGATAGCATCCAGCAATAATCCACTGTATGGAACAGGAAGTGAAGAAGAATACTATATTCAGTTATAGTAGGAGGAATTAGAGTACACAGAAATATAATGGCCTGAGTTTGAATCTGTCTAGTATATCTTGGTTAATGTCTCTTGTCCTCATGAAGATGCCATGGCATCTTTCAGGACTTCTCATTTAAAAAACCTCAGGAACACAGTTTTCTAACTCCATGCCATGGCAGTAGTTCAGTACGATCTAGGAGAGGCAACATAGTCCACTGGATACAATGTGTGGGACTCAGGAAACCTAGGTTCTAGTCTCAGCTGTTCCACAGAATTTTTATATAGCCATGGGCAAATCATTTCACCACTCCATGCCTCTGATTTACCTTACGTCCTTTGTCCAGATTGTAAATTGTTCAGGGCACAGACTGTCTTTTACTCTATATGTATGTATACTCCACCTAACATAGTGTCCGATGTCAGCTGGAGCCCTTAGGTGCTACTATAATACTGTTGGGGAGGGAAGAAAGTGTTATCTACTGGATCACCAGTATCTGGATGGAAAGGACACAGCCAGTGCATTTCTGCAGAATCTAGAAGTAAATGAGCCGTGTTGCTATTAAACTGGGGTAACTCTGAGCTGAGGGTTGAGGTGGGGAGGGAACATCTCCTGAAAAGATCATTGTAGAACCAGTAGAAAGGCCACCTGACTGAGACCAGAGTATAGTAATATACAACACACTGTTGGATCTAGATGGGATTAAATAGAAACTAGAACAGGCAAATAAAAACTTTTTTTTGTCTGTACTAGAAGATTTACCCAGCATTGCTTGGGTCCTTAAGTCAAATTATTTTTCTTCATCTAATCATTGTTCTGGGTTGAGACTGGGGACGAGGGGTTCAGAATGCAGGCTGCCCTAAGGGGAGAGGACAACCCCAGTCCTCTGTCACCTCAGCAGTTTGAGGCCAGGTGAGAAATGCTTGTCCATGGCTGCTGCAGCTGCCCTCTACCCCCTTCTGGCTTAGTTGGGTTATAGTTGTCCTAATGCCCATCTCGGCATCTTACTGCCCTCCTGTCAGAGTATAACTGTCCCTACTGCCAGACTTTCCCTTTCCATTTTATGAGAAACAATTAAATTCCAGGCACATCCCATTATCTTGACACAACCAAACCCCAACCTTGCTTTAAGTTATGAAAAGAGGAAGCTGCATTCCAAATCTGGTGGTCCTAGCTCTTACTGTTTAAGAGTTCTTGAACAAATGGACAGACAGACACACATTTCTAAAATATATGGTAAGAAGATGAGAGAATAATTCCCATAATTGTATGGGACAAGTTATAAATCCTGTTATACTGGGTAGCTGTATTCAAGTGTAAAAGCATAATTTGCTGGAAAAAATCCTCCCCTTAGTTTACCTGACACAGTCAGTGGAGATGCTACATACAGCTATTGCCACTGAAGGTGTGGTTCATTAAATGATTCCCTGCTTTACAAATCTAGTGCCTTGCTGCTGCTGGATTGCTCTTCTGTGTTAGAAATAGGGATAGTAGATATCAGGGTTTAGATTAGTCGAGTAACCACATGAATTCCTATCGACTACTCGACTATTCTATAGTCCCTGGAGGCAAGGCTGGCAGCCAGTGCAATCTGGCCCAACTCTTGGAGAGCCCCCTGTCATCCCGCATTACTGCCTGTATATCTGTCTGCATCCTTGTGCTTATCTGTGTTTGAAATTCTACAACAGGACAACTGCAGTGCTTCAGTGTAGACACTACATCTGCCAATGGGAAGAGTTCTCCCCTCAGTGTAGGCAGGCTACCTCCCCGAAAGCTAAATTGTTGGAAGAATTGTTCTGCTAATCTAGAGTCATCCGCTTGGGGATTTAGGGCAGCTTAATTATGTCACTTTAGGGATGTGGATCTTTCACACCCCGGGTGGTAAAATTGCTTTGATCTAATTTTCAAAGTGTGGATTGGCCCTTAGAGTAGATATTGTATGTCTGTGAAGCACTGTTTTGATGTTGCATTAGGAGTAGCTAATTTTGAGGGAGTACATTCTTTCTCTGTCTCCACTTCTTTCCCTCCCATCCCACAGTCAGTGTGGAGAGAACAGCGGTGGTTGTCTCCAAAGAATGTCAATAACTCTCTCCTACAGGAAATAAAGAAGAAAAAAGGAATAAAGGAGGAAGTGCAGCTGACTATTAAACAGAAGGAGTTGCTGAATGCACAGCTGGAGAAGGAGTCTCAGATTCGAAAGCAACTGAAGGAGGCAAGTTACTGATTTTGCCTGAAATTGGATCTCTGCAAACACTAGGGTGCGGGCAGAGATAGAATTTTGATACTTTTGACTCAACAGACCTTTGTCACCTCTGTAAACGGACATGAACAAATCATTTAAATTAAAAGAAAAGTCAATGAAAATGTAGGAAAAACTAGTGATAATCCAGTTGCAGTTTTCCATCAGAAACCCAAAGATTAAATCTCTTCTTTGATTTGGAGATCGTCTTTTGTGAGTAACCATTGCAATGATTTCTCTTGCAGCTTGATCGCGAACTGGAAGCGGCTCTAGGACTCCTGGATGCTGTTCTAAAGAGAAACCCTCCTGGTCTAACCCATTACATCCCGGTTCTTATAGGCACCTTCTTGCCACTGTTAAAATCCCCATTGGCTGCTCCCAGAATTAAAACTGCTTTCCTATCCTTAGCTTCCTGTGTCATGCCTCCTCGACTGAAGACTTTTGGTTAGTGTCTGCAATTTATTGTGTGTTTTATAAAGATTTCCTGTTCAGGGACCGCTTCTATTATATGGGATTGTAAAATTTTTTTTAATTTGAAAGTGAATATAGAATGTGTAAAATATGTTGGCTAGTTACCCCTGAACACTGCTTTGTTTTAGCAATAGAGCAGCTATGTTGCGGTCTGTCCTGGCATGGGAATATGTGCCCCCGGGGAGCTACACTGTCTGCATGCATTCAACACTAACTAGTGTCAGCTTTGATGTTTGTTCATGAGATATGGAAGTGGTCAGTAACTAGGAACTCAAACCAGGCCAGCAGAGGGCAAATAACTCTCATATGCGCTAGGGCCCTTATGTGGAGAACCCTGAAAATTTTTGGATGAATGAGGCTTTTTCTCTTGATTTCCTGATGGCTGTTGCAGAAACAGGATCATTTCTTATAAAAAAAATTAAACTGAATTTTCTTGGCTTATCCTGAAAGCTGAATGAAATGCACACAGGTAGAGACAGCTCTCATAAGCTAAAGAGCTTATATTCTGTTCCCTCTGCTCTTGTCCAGCTGATGTGAGAGCCTTTAGTTTTGTGGATAATAATGGTTCCTGCTCTTTGGATGTTGGAAACAGGTCCTGGAATGAGGGTTAGTGTGGAAATGGCAGCACCCCCTGGTTTGAAGTGGTTTCCACTATATACAGGGTTTATAATTTTGTTCAGTGGCTTTCAGCACCCACACTAGAAAAATTATTCCAGGGCCAGTGGTTGGTAATGTTTGGGGATTTGTTTTACCTCTGGAAATGACTTTTATTTGTTTGTATGTAGTCCACTCAAAGATTTTTTTCTTTTATATTTAGGTACGTTAGTGAGTCATGTGACTTTACGCCTGATGAAACCAGAGTGTGAATTAGATGAATCCTGGTGCCAGGAAGAGTTGTCTACTGCCATTAACAGAGTTGTTAGCTTATTGCATGCACATACCATCCCTAGCAGGACTTGCAAGGGAGAGCCAGGTGAGAGATGCTGGTCTGGGATGTGTTTGTGCTCAGATGATTTTTCTTAGATATTTGTACAGCCTCTTGTGAGTTAAACCATCACATTTATTTTCCCCAAATTAGATAGAAAAAGCTTCTCTACTTACCAAACCCCCCAGACTTCCAAAGACTTTTCCTATTGCAGTAGTACATGTTGTCACAGGTACAGTAAGTGCTTCTTTAAAAAGCAAAACCAAAAACCCATAATAAAAACAAATAATTCTATCAAAGGGTGAGTCTAGACTACAGGGTTTTATCAACAAAAGTGGACTTTTGTTGACAAAACTATACCTGCGTCTACACTGCTGCTGAGTTCTGTCGACATAATGTCAACAGAACTCAGCAGGTTTTTCAATGGCTGTAAACCTCATTCTATGAGGAATAACGCCTTTTGTCAACAGAGTTTTGTCGACAGAAGGCATTATTGCGTCTACACTGTCATGTCGACAAAGCGGCTTGCTTTGTCGACAGAACTGGATGTAGTCTAGACGCTCTTTGTCAACAGAAGCTTTGTCGACAGTATCTGTCAACAAAACTTCTGTTGACAAAAGCCTGTAGTCTAGTTGTACCCCTAGAGTTCAGACTGTGGCCCACAGCCTGCAGAAGAATCTGTAAGCATGGCTCAGAAATGTGTGCAAACAGAATAATCCTTAGTGTTCAGCACTGCTTAATGTAAGTGTTGATTAAATGAAAGGAGGAAAAAATTGGAGTTACTCATCATATCTAGGGCCTGAGTCATCCCATCTTGCTTGTCATATGAGTAGTAGTTCATCCTGTTTTTTAGATTGTTCATTGTCTTCTAGCTTAATCTTTCTGGTACTGTCTCATTCTGGCCACTTATAAAGGATACCGCACTAACAGTTCTTTGGAGAAAATGTAGGATGTGGCTTTATTAATATTTTTAAAGATCTTGTACCCCAGTGCCATAGTCCTCGCTCACTCTGGTGAATTTCTCTGTGGTTGCTGCACGCTTATTCTTCACCTTTTAGTAAGCAATTGACCATGGTGATTTCCATTTCAAAACATTGTTTAACGTTTCAGTGATATTGTGACTCGGCAGTATAACATTGATTCAACTTTTTTGTCTCAATATTTAGACTTATTTTTAGGCTGCTTTGCTAGCTACACCTGGCCATAGTTAGATACAATCACAGGAAACATTTTTCCCCTTCCCCAACAGTTATTTGAACATATGTCTGAGAATTTGGTCATTAGTAGATAGTTGTGCAAAGCCTATTTCACTGATAAATACTTTCCCAGCTTTTCTGTTTGAAAATTTGATTAGACTCCTTTTACCATTAGATTGAAGGTTTTTAAATGTTGCTGTGCTTTATGTCTCTTAAAAATATCTTGGATATTAATCTTTCAAATTAAGCTTTATTCCTTGGTTTACCTTGTAACTACCCTTTCAAATCTGTTTCTGAAGCATCCGGGCTAATTTTTATGTATTTAAGTACAGATTGAACCTCTCTATTCTGGCACTCTCTGGTCTGTCAACATCCATGGTCCCTCATGATTTCAGTTAACTGGATGTCCAGTTTCATGGTAAACTTGGTGTGGCCAAGTTTCTCATGGTCCCATAAAGTTTGGTTACAGCCACCAGTCCTGGCTCTCAGTGTTCTGTGCTATTATTTATCTCTAAATGTCTTCTAAGAGCCCAGCAAGCAGTGGAAATGTTGGTAATGCTGCTAGACATAACTGACTTCCTGTGGTCTGGCAAATTCTCTGGTTCGACAGCGGTCAGGTCTTGAGAGTGCTGGACTAGAAGGTTCAACCAGTACAATAATTGCTATTGTCTGCAATGAATGCAAAATAGCTTTCATCCCTGATAAAGCTCTTTCTTTCTACCTGTAAAGAAATAAAAAACCATACTTGCTTAAACCTTTAGTCAAGCCCATGGTTGATCCGTGATGAGATCTGCCCTGCACTTACTGTATTTTGACCCTAAAGAGTTGCTAGAGGGAGCAAATTCTACAGATTTGGCTTCTTCATTCATGTTCCCTCTGTAGTGGCAATTAAATAATTAGCAGCTTTGCAAAAGGATAATTAATAATTCTTCCTTGAAATGCTCTGAGAGGTGGGAGAAGCTAGCTATAATGCTGCAGTGCTGTCTGCAGAGTGCTGCATGCTTCCATTTGAAATTAAAATTGGCATTCACTGGTAAAGCAGTTAGCAGGTGGAAGGCAAATGTTTCTCCTGGGTATTCATGCCCTCTAAACACTGTCTATTTTTAGCCGTATTTGGAAAAGCACTGTAACCATGGTCCCATGGGAGGATTCTGATGAATACTTGTCTATACCTAACTAGTGACTATTTTCATGCTGTACCTTTCAGTAAACAACATTTCACAGTATAGCCTGAAACTGGGGGGTAGTGCCATTTTGCTAGTCTCTCTAATGACTAGCTGGAAGGAATGTATGCTTCACACCCTTCTAAAGCTGATTCACTATAAAAGAAAAAGATGCAGCTGCCAAACAAATGCACACTTGTTGTTGAGCTCAAACCAGAGTTAAAGAGGTCTTGACTCCTGGAATCCATGTGACAGCTTTTGGGTGATGATCTGGCTAGGGTGCTGGGTGCTGTTTAGCTATTGATGCTCAGCTCAGGATCTCACCTGTTTTTCCACTTTTTATCAACTGAATTTCAGTGATTCTTCTTACTCTTGTGCTTTCTCTGCATGGTCCTAAGTGGCTGACATCATTTGAATGCCTAGTCTCACTTATTTGAGAGCCCAGCATACTAGTATAAAATGCACTTGCACTAAGAGCATGCATCTCACACCTGCCCAATACTGCGGCCTGAATGCCACTGCTGTTGATGTGAAACTCCAGTGTGACTGTGGTTAGGCTGGTGGTGAGCTGCAAATTTTGCTTTAGGATAGCTAAGAATTGTGCACACCCTGCTACATTCCTTATACAAACAACAAGAAGTCCTTACACAGTTGTCCAAATTTGCTTATTATATGTTGTCTCTTTTAGGCTTTAAGCTCTTTGCATTTTTTTGGGTGTTTGTACAATACCTAGCATAATATGGGGCCCAATCTGGTTGTGGTCTTTAGATGATACCACAATGTAAAAGTTAAAGGATAATAAATTAATCTCCCGAATATCTGTAGAGTAAATGAAGGCTCAGGAGACTCTGCTGTGCTCACAGGATGTCTTCTTCCTTTCTATCCTTGGCAGGCGCTGCATCCTTATCAGCCCCAGCATTTTCCTTAGTCTTCCCTCTCCTAAAAACAGTGCTGACTGAGACGCCCAATGATAGTGAAGAGAAAGAAGCACTCATGGTCAAGATTTTGCAGATTCTTACAGTCCATGCTCAGCTGAGATCATCAGCAAGTGACCAAACTTCACTGGTGGATGAGGTCAGTGTTCATCCGTCCCTCACGGGTGGAAACTGGAGGAATGTGAAGAGATCACTGTGAAGATAATGGCATTAAAAATTAGAGAGTTGCCATAGGGTGTTTAAAAGGGACACTGATACCTTCAGCAAGAAAACCTGGGATGAATTGTTTTGTGCAGCTACTGGCTGGCCCTTCAGCAAGGCTTGCTATTTATTGTACAGCCTTTGTAATCATTGGTGTTATAGCAATGTCAGTGCCAGGATATTAAAGGAACAAGGAGTGTGAGGTAATATCTATTATTGAACCAACAACTATTGGTGACAGAGAGACACTTTCGAGCTCACACAGAGCTCTTCCTTGGGCCTGGGAAAAGTATTCAGAGGAGCACAACTAAATGCAAGATAGAACAGATAGTTTAGCTTAAGCCAGGGATGGGGAACCCTTTTTTGGGTCAGAGGTGCTGACCCACAGAAAAATCAGTGGCAGGGGACTGAGGAGAAAGACACTCTTCACATTCCCCTCA